CAAAAGGAACAAAATGTTTCTTCCCTTCATTCTGAACTCTTTTATTATTTATTTAATGTATTTAACTCATTGAACGGATATATACATTAAGCCATTTTAAATAAATAGTTATTTTCTATCGACAACTCTTGTAAAAATAGAAATTATGAACAACATTATAACGATCTGTAATTGTTTATACAGATGACAGGATCTTAATATTTAAAAGAAAAACTAATCGTTAGCTAGATATTATTATATAAAAGATAAATTTATGATTAATGTCTGTCTATTTGGATTTCTTATATTATGTAATCACGGATTAATGTATGTAAGATATCTGTTTGAACTATACTTATATTAACTGTAACATAATAAAAATCTTGTTTGTTTAACGAAATTAAAAGTTTCAAGGTGATTTATTCTAATTTAAAAATTAAAACTGTAGTCGTTTCTTATTAAACTAGAAAATTGCGTGAATATTGATTAAAGGATAACAAGAAAATGAATCGTTATTCATTTTTATCCTTAATTACAGTGCCAAAAGATAGTGAAAAATCAAATTTTGATAGATTTATTTCATTTTTATGTCCTAACTGAATAAGATTTCTTTGATGCAGGAATGTCTTTCTTTTTTCTGAAGCCTTCATTTAATAATTCCATGTGTCTTGAAAGATGTTTCCTTCTTTTTTCCCTATAGCAAAATCATGTTTGACGCTTTTTTAATCCGAAACTGCGATCAATGAACGTCTAATTTTTGATGATATATTTGAATTTAGTTGGTCCATAATTTAATCATTAATAAAATTCTTATAATTATTAAAAAATAAATAAAAATCGAAAGATTTTATTAAAAAAAACTTATAAGAATTTAGGTCATCGAAATCCTTTTGAAAATTGAAAATATAACTTTGTAAATTTTTCTGCGTATCGGTATTGAATTAAGATTAAATTTCAATTAAGAAAATGGAATATTTTCTAATTTATAATAACTTTTGTTTATATTTGTTATTATCCTGTTTTCGTTCTAAGGATGAAATTACAGCAAAATTTATCTCAGTTAATTGTTCAATGGAAGAGCGTCGCAATGCTATCTTAGTTCTATCGATCGAGTAAGAGTATCACCTATGTGAATGTCATTTCCAATGAAGTGTAAAGTCAATGTAAGTACAAATAAAACTCACAAACTATAATTTGTTACATCGATTACATTTCTACAGATTTTATAGCTTTATTTGTGTATAAATATATTTAAAAATTCAATTTATCTTTGTTCAATGTATTATAAAATAATTTTGAATTTTTAAATATTTAACATCAATTTATTTGTATTTAAAGTAGCCAATAATTTTATTAATTAATGTAAAATTAACGTTATCTCAGTAAATTTTCTGTAATATTGATTAAATCAGATTAAAATAAGAGTGAATTCAAAGAATGCTAATTTCATAACTTCATAATATTAATTATTAATATTCCAAAAATTTAAACAGTAGAATTTCCCGATTATTAATGCTAAATGCATTCGAAATCTTATTTCCATTAAACAAAATTCAGTTAAAACGGAAATATGAATAAAGTAATTACTGAAAATAAAGCATTCCATTTCCTTTCTACGAATGCTTAATGTAAAAATAATAAATCAAAATATAACTTAGTATAATATAAATATACATCGTTACAGATATTTCCATAAAATTAAAATTATAAATACTTAAATTATTCACATCTATAATAAACAATTATTTAATTCTTAAATATGTTACCGTATTTGATTGATTAATCGATTGATTAAATTAGGTTAACGGGTAGTGTATTATATTCTTGTAGTTGTTAAACACGAAAATACTTAGAGATAATGCATTTCTAATTCTTTATCACTTATTATATTTAATATATAGAAAATCAGCGCCATCTTTCTAGCATATAATTTAATATTGATAAACACTTTGCTCCAGTCTACACCATTATCAGATCCTTTTTCATTATAAAATAATTTAATGGGAAAGGACCTGGAGACAGATAATGCTTGTTGATATTAACATTGTATGCTGGAAAAATTCTTATTATATATATAAGTTTTATTTTGCTATTTATAATTTTCTATCAAATTTTAATAAAACGTCATATTTTCTATTATATTGTTACGAATATAAATGTAACTTTTGCTTCGTTACATGTCAAATCTGTTTTATTAATTAATATAAACAAGTTTTATAACTAGGTTTAATTAATGAATAAATAAATATTTTATTGTTTCTTTAAATATTAATATGAAATTTGATAAAAATATTTAAATATTAATATTTGTATATTTTTAGAAATTCTATTTTACAAATAATTTGTCATAATTATTGACAGTTTTCAATAAATTTAATTAATTTTTTTAAACTTGCTTCTGTTTCAATAAAATGACAATTTTCTAGTTTCTTATAGCTTAAAAAATAAAAAATAAGTTTTTTTGGGGGAATTCTATAACTTGAAATAATAAAAATAAATTATTTTACTTATAATTACAGAATTATTATTATAAATTAATAATTACAGAATTAAAGTTTGTTTACCTATAAGGAAACGATAAATATTTGAAATATAATTTTATGTTTAAAGAATTTTTAAAAGCAAAAAGTTAACACAAACCATATTTTTATATGGCAAAACAAATAAAATATTTATTTATTATTAAATAACATAAATAAATTAAATAGAGGAGAAAGGACAATATTATAAAATAATTATCTAAAAATATAATTAATAAATACTGTATATCTAAATTATTCAATAATTTTTAAATATTTTAATAAAGTTTAATTTTATATTAATTTATTATGTAAAAATAACTAATTTAACAAGCTAGACTAATTGACTAACTATTGTCTCTTTTAACTGGAAAAGTAATTAATATGTTAATCACCTGCATTAAAATTGTAAGATTTTCACAATAGAATTTAAATGAAGTGAATTATAACTTAACGATTATAAATTAAATTTTTTAATTTATAATCGTTAAGTAATATTATGTTGTTAGTTAATTGAAATTTTGTTTACAGACATTTATATCAAATTGACTTATTTACATGTAAACTTGTGAATAAGATTTTATAGTATTTATTTGTGAAATTTGTTAATTCTTGTGTTAAGTATTAATTTTTGTTATTTGGAAAAGAACTGTTAAACTAAAAAAGAAAAAATATTTAGACATTTGTCTGTTTAAGATCCCAAGATTTGTTTAATTCTGAAAAGTTACAATAACTGTGAATAAGGTTTGCTTATTTGAAGAAATATAATCTGCTCTATACAAAGAAAAGTGTAAATTATAAAGGAGCAAATTTAATTTTTTAATAAAACGAAGTCTTATAAGGAAAAAAAGTTATTCTATCAGAAAAAAGGATTTCAAAAACAGAGGAAAACAAAAATTGAATGGAAAAGGAGATTTATATTTTTGTTTCAATAGTGGCAAGTCTTTTATAGTATAGTAATTAATATTAAAGTAATTTAACATAAAGTATTATGTTAAATTACTTTATCACAATATCGCAGAAGAATTTAATCTACATTACATATCTATTGAAGCTCTTGCAAGTAGACTTTCTTAACATTCTTGGCCAGGAAGAATTCATTAAAAAAATGCTCATTTATTTCAAATTAATTATGAAGTTACAATTAAATTATTTATTTTTTTAAATTCTGAAAGAGGCGACTGAGAGTATCTGCGATTGCAAAAACTTAAATTTAATTATTTTTAAAATTACAGTATAATGGATTTTAATAATTAATATAATTTTAAATAATATTCTTAAAATAATTTATTTTTATTGTTATAAATGACTAGTATGAGACAATTTTTGAAGTTTATTTTAAAAAGATATTCTAAGCTTCTAATCTATATATAAATATATATATAAATCATTCTGGCAGTACAATATTACAAAAAGTGACATGATCACGTGATCATGAGTGCCATTAATTTAAAAATTTATTGTATTTGTCAGTTACTCTTTTCAGAAAGACTTGTTTTAAAGTTATTTTTCTAATAAGTAATTCGAAATGTAAATGACATAAAAGAAATATTCTGAAGTCGTGTTTTATCCAATAAACAATTTTATAAGTTAATAATGTAAAAGGAAATTTCTGTATCAAGTATTTCTTTCAAAACATTGATAAATAAAATAAAATAGAATAAAAGAATTAAAATATCAGTAACATATGCATAAATGATAAGATGCGATAACAAATAAAAGAAAATAATCTACAAATATTGTAGATGAATTTAATAATTTAATGATTCAGTTTAAAATATTTTAAAATGGAGTTAAGGAAGAATTAAAATTAATAATTAGAATTGTTAATAAATTAATAAAACAGACAAGTCTTTTTCTTTTCCAAGAACTGCATTAAATAGGTTAATTCCTAGCAATTAATGTTTGTTAAGAAAGAATAAAAAACAAACATTTAAATAAGTAACCATAATATTATAATGTGCACGTTTGTACATGAAAATTATAAAATTCAACACAAAAATAATAATTATTATCATTAAAATTTTTCAAAATAGAAACAAATAGCGTTACTTATTTGTATATAATTTTGTTGAAATATATGGTAAAATCTGTATAAACCGGACAGTACCAAATATTTATTTCTTTTTTAACACTGTTTAACAAGTTTTTTAACACTGAAAATCATTGTGATGCGAAGAATTCTCTCCGTTTAGGCAGGTTTCCGTTTTGTACAGGTTTTACTGTATTTAAAACATAAACACAGAATTTGTATTAACATAATCTCTATCAACAGATTAATGTTTAATTATTAAAATATACTAATTTCATAAAGATTAAATAATTATTAATAAACGAAATATATATTTTTGTGATTTACGCAAAAAATAAATTATGGAAACCACAAATAAAATGTGAAAATAATACTTTTATAAATTAAAATTACAACAAATAAAATGAAATATTCGAAACGTATATATACTTTATTAATTCGAAAATTATATTTAGTGTGAAAGTCCTAAAAGTGAAGGCTAAAAAACTTCTTCATGTGAAGGAATTAATTCCTTTGTGTCTGTTGCAAGCAGTCCGAGGTGGAGCAACATTTTTTTTGATTGATGTGGCTATCTAAAGTTTGGTTCTTGGGCAAGAACATCAGAAGGTTGCCAGGAAAGGTTTTCTATTCCAATCTGTCACTTTTCTGTCTTGAGAAGATAACCTTCAGCAGTCTACTGTAGAAATAAAAATAAGTAAATAAAAAGGATAATGTTCTGAGAAACTATCTTTCGTCCCGTAAAACATTACCTATTTATTACTGCTAGCTTATAAACTTTCTCCAAGATGCTACTAGAATTTTATGTGTTTGTGCTATAAAAATATATTTTTATAAGAATTATTATGTTAATGGAACCTGTTAAATTGAATAGAAAATTTGATAATCATTTGAATAATTTACAATTTTATTTAACAATAACAAATTTTTGAGCTGTAATTTATCAGAAAAAAAGAACTCGCACAGAATTATTTGTTTAATTAAATAATTCTAATATATAAGGTTTTATACAGAAAAACTATTACTGATATACTTTATTCATTTCTTTGTTAATATTCTCACTTTGATCATTGTATAATTTAATTACACTTAAAAAATTTCTGGAAGCTGTCGAATTTCTGTTTTTTCTTTCCTTTTTAAAATACGAATAACTCGACAATATTTGATGTTAATCAATTAACGTCAGATTCGATATCTTTTTAATTTATTTTTTTCAAGAACTTTTGTCAGAATAGAAGATTTTTGTAACACTGTTCTTTAATTTCATATTCAGATTTTAACATAAGAAAACTTCAAACATATAATCAATCTGTCATGGCTACTTTTCAATCAATTATAGTAAAAGTTATAGTGGAGTAGTAATGTAAAAGTATTTACAAGGAAAACCCCTTTGAAATATTCATTTAATAAAATTCTATACATGTAGCATTTATTCCTTGCTTAATTTTTTGATAAATTAGTCCAATTAATATTCTTTTTGAAACCTATCCATTAGAAATTTTCCATTAATATTAAGTACATTTGTTCATATATTATTTAATATAAAAACGATAAAGATATTGTAAATTAGTAGGAGAATTAAAGAGAATCTTTCTTTATCGATAACAATTTATCTTTATTATCATTAAAATTTTATCAAAAAATTATAGTAATTATTAATAAATACTGTAGTAATTAGTAAAGTGAATAATAGAATAACTTTTTGAAGTGTAATAAAATTTAATTTCTGCCAAATTAAAAGAAAAATTTTGAAAAAAAATAAATAAAATTGACTTAAAAAGTTTTAATCCTTATTTCTTTAAATTCATTAAGAGAAAATAATACTGATGGAGATTTTCTTAAGACGTTTGGGAATTGTTTAAAAAAATAAACTTCATAGAAATATTTTAATCATTAAAATTATACAGGAAAGTTATATAACAAAAGAAATACTAAATATAAAAGGAGAAAATTGTGAGAAAAAGAAAGAAGAAAAAGAAAAGAGGTGTATGGGCGTGACAACTTGCAGCTGAATCGAGACAATAGATTAAGGAAATTACAGGAAAATATATAGTCCTGAGAAATGGTGAAGACAATCTAAGAAAGAGAAAAGACCATTATTAAAGATGGTGCCGTCTAACCAAAGGAGTTTATATAAAAAAATATTTCGAAAAGCAAAAATAATAACATTTTAATATTGTCTACGTGTTTTTATGTTAATAATTAATTTATATTAATTTTAGTTTGTTTATATTGAAGCAATAAGATAAACTTTAATGTGATTTCAGCTTCATAGTACTTTTATATTTATTAAACTTAATTAAATTCGACTTTTACAAAATGAATTGTTAAATTATCAAATTAAAATATTATTTTTGTCATATAAAATTTTGTAATATTTTAATCAATATCTACACATTAATCAGTTTCTTTTAGACTTATACTAATGGATTGAATTAATGGAATGAGGAAACGTAACTCATGGACGATCTGCCAAGGGATCACGTGTCCATATGGAAGACCTTCCGGGAAAACTTTCTATGGAAAGCTGGTCCTATTTAGATATGAAAGAAAATGGGAATATACCACTTGGTCAGCCCGTTGGTTAGCCGCAAACTAGAGACCAAGCTACCGATGTTTAGTGGTTTATTCTGTAGTATTTAGTGTTCAGTGGTGACCTTTTACTAATAAATATCAGTTATAATTTTAATATAATTTATAGTTCTACTTTTTTTTGCAAAATATATAAGAAATTTTTGCATAAAATTATTTTAAATAATTTGAAATATGAGAAATAGAAGAAATTGCTTCATTATGAAGTTTTCTGATTAGGCATGCAATTACAAGATTGAATTCTACTCAATCATTCATTCAAATGATCTTAATAAGTTTATTGTTTGAAGCCATTACTCTAAACTGGAGACAGTTCTGAAAACAGAAATCACATCGTTACACATTTTAAGATAACAAAATTTAATACAAAATAAATAAATTGAAAAATTTTAATTTGCTTTTAAAAATATTATACAAAGTGATTTTAAATAAATGCGAAAAATTTCAGGGGCTGATTCTTTCAATAATTTCATGCGTAAAAGGGCATATGAACATATGTTCAAACGGCATAGTTTTAAAGTTAAATGATGTTTAATGTGTGGTCACATTGAAAATTTTGACGAAGTACGGAATCGCGTTGTCGCATTCTGTAAAATAATTGGACACACCCCTGATATTTATGAACGTGCGTACCAATCAATGCGGCGGAAGATAGAATCTTATATTGTACAGTTAACGGTGGTCATTTTCAGCAGTTATTACACTACATATGAACTTTTATGGTTGAAATTGGTCGAAGAATCAGTCCATGAAAATTTTCGCATATATCTAGAATCATCCTATTTATCAGAAATAAAATTAAAGCGCGTACTGAAAAAGAAATTTAGAATTAATAAACTAGAATCTTCACAAAAATTTTATGTTGTTAAAATTAATGAATTACTTCATGAAATTATTATATTTCTTTTAAAAATTAAATAAAATTAATCGTTAAATAAACAATTAACATTTATTTGCAGAAATAAAATAAATATATTCTGAAGAAATGTTGGAAAGCTTTCAAGAATTATCTGGTTCTTGAAGTGTTGAATATATATCAAAAATTCTATGTTTTTTGCAGGGTAGATGAATTGCATATGCTAAGACCACTCACAAGATAACATCCTTTATTTCTTATGGGAATTTTAGTAAACATTATTCTCGAAAACATGAATAATTAGCTTTGAATATTCGTCTGATTATCATATTCACTTAAAGCTGTACAGAGCTTTCGACTCTATGATTTATATTCAGTTTTAGCATCTAAAATATTTGGAAATATGTTAGAGTCGATTTAAATTTTGTAAGTGTATCGTTTATATTAGTTAATATTCTTCATCCGTTATAAATTATTCCCTTATAAATATTATTTAATAATGTTCTTTCACCTAGTGTGTAATCTCTATCGATAGCGATTACACACTAAATGTAAGAATTAAGAAATGTAATTTAATCTATAATGGACGAATATTGTATTAACGTTTGATAATGATTCCGTTGATTGATTATATTTATAGCATTACACCAGAACCCTTTTCAATTAGTGTAATGAAAATTATTAACCTTTATTATTTAATTTAATCTCATAATTTAATAGACTATTAATATAATTCGCCAATAATAAATTTTAAATGAGTTTTTTACGTTTTTTATATAATACGAATATAATACTGTATTTTTAATACTTAGCCTCATTCATTATTTTCTTTAATTTTTAAAATCGTTTACATCGACAATTCTTAAATGTTATACAGTGAAACATGTGTAAACAGTACCCAATTTTTTCCATTTAAGTAGTCTTCCATTTTATTCAGGTTCCGTTTTAGATAGGTTTTACTGTGCAGTCAAACCTCGATATAGATTTGTTCGCCTGCAAAACTGATGTTAAATCGAAAGACTCCAAACAATAACAATTATATAAAACAAGGGAATATCCGTTTGAGATCCGCATCCATTAATTAATGCTCTATGAGGATAGCTGCTATATCGAGATTAGGCTGTATATAATCTAAAATATTTATTATTATTTTATTAAAATTAAACAGGAAAAAATTTATTTGCCAATTTTTACTCATAAAACAAAATAATTTAATATTATAAAATAGACCTATTTAAAATGAAAAAAAATTGAAGCAATTTATATGCTAATAGTATACATAATAATCTCAATTTTGAAATTAAAATATATTATTTACTTTTAAAATTTCAATTAGATGTCATATTTAGATTTGTAATTTAATTAAATAATCATTTTGAAAACTTAAAATTCATATTAAAAGTAAGAGAGTTTATTAATAATAAATGAGAAATCTGAAATAATAGGAATAAATCAATAAAGGATCATGATATAGCTAATTTTTCATAAAATTATTTAATGAATGATTATTAGCAATCTATAAGTGGCTTGAGGAAAAACCTTACTTGCTCGTTAAATTCAGTAAAGAAAAATTGGAAAAATTGATGAGTTATTTAAAACGCATTACGAAAGGAAGAAAAAGTAAAATTGAAATGTTTAAATAAATGAAGCTCTCTAAATTTTGGTATTTGATTGAATACATTTAAAGTACATTTTTAGCGATTGTGAATATTCAGAACTTGAGCAGTATTGATTGCTATGGTTTATGATGTCATTAGCCATTGTTAATGTTATATTTTCTTTTATTTCCTTTACACAGATTCGAAATAAAGTAACTTAAAGCTTGATGAATGTTAAAACAAGTTTCATAACTATTGTAAATTACTTTCGATTTAATTTTCTTATTGATTTTAGTATCTTGATGAATTTAATAGTAATTGTTTATTCATAAATGTGAAGAATTACATTCGAATATGATAGAAAAGTAATAAATAAATTTTTTTTTATAAATTAATATCAGTGAAACAGTATTTAGAAATGATTAGGCAATTTATAATTAAAAATTAAATAGAAGAGGTAATTTCTATACATTTTAAAATATATTAAACACAAAATATAAAATTATTACAATTTTTTATTCTCAGTTATGCTTTGTCAAACGAAAGGTGCAAACTTTTTTTTTTTTTTTTTTTCTAATTCAATTTAAAAACTGGAAATATTTTTACAGAATTATGAGAACTTTTTACACAACAATGACATCGTCACAATGCTGAGCTGCAATTTTTAATCATATTTTAATTAATTTAATTTAAAATATTTTAAATATATGTAGGATAATGTTAAAAGTCAGTAAAGGTATAATGTATATTATAATGTATATTATATATATGATTAAGATTTTCCAATTAATAAAAACTAATTCAAATCCTTTTAATTCGTGTAAGTACATAAATTTAATTCAATCGAATAAACATAATGTAGTAACGAGCAATTATTTATTGTGACATTGTCACAATGTCAGGCTACAATTTTTAATCATATTTTTAATTTATTTAATTTAAAATATATGCTTTCCACCTCAAATTAATAGTATCTTGTAGTAGTAGTACTTTTTCTTTATCAATACAGTAGTGCCGGTTATCTGTCTAACGCCTTTCAGGGAAAAAGTTTTGAATTGACAAAGCAGTCCAGTGAACTTGCCTGAAATAGCATTTTCTTTATTTTCTTCTCTTCTTTATAATCGAATTTATTAAAATATTCTATATAATTTCAGCTATTCATTCGAATTATATTGAAATATTTTCGATTAAATAATTTAAAATTAGGCGAAAATTGATAAGCGAATTAATTTATATAAAAAATATGAAAATCAAGTAAAATGGAAATTCAAAATATTGTAATTAATTTTAAAAATACATTTTTTTCCTTTTACTTAATCAAAATTTATTAAAAGTTATAATTCTAATCACGATATTACTTATTAATGTACACCATGTTACATATGATAATAATTAATTAAATTAAATAAATTAAATTTCTTAAATAAAAAAAAACCTTAAGTTTTATTTTTAAAATGCTTACATATAAATTTTTTTTGTCACATTGATTATTTAAGTTTTTTTAAAAGTATAAAAAATATACCCTGAGGCTCGAATAATAATAAAAATAAATTTGTTTACTCTCCTGGACGGAATTTTTATATCTGATACACATTAATTATTGTTTCTTTCCTATTTTAGAAGTTCTTACTTTAAACAATTTTTTAATAACACCCAAATATCTAAATATTTAATTTTTTCGAAATTAATAATTTTTGAAATTGTGCTTGATATTTATAAAATTCCATTGATTATTTCAATTGTTCACTTATTTATTCAATGACATTTTTAACAATAATGCTGAGATATTATTAGACATAAGGCTTACAATTATCTGTGTCGATATTTTTAGATTAGTTAAAGAGAATTTCTTTCTTAAAAATAAACGTAGAGAAAAAAGATAAGAAATTCTACAAACCCTTTTGTTTTATAGCTGCACCTTCAATAACCTTTTGAATTTATAATTAAATAACTTTAAGTCTTTATTATTATTTTATTTCGAAAGAATAATAAGAACTGTTGTCTTCTCTGACATCTTTTGAATTTAGCAAGATGAAAAGAATCTGCGAGTCTAGTGATGTCTAATTTGAATTATATGTCTTTGTTAATTTGTTTAATTATCCTCACATAAAGTTTATTGTTTTCGTGGATTCCCGATAGATTTCTGCGAAGAATCCATTGACATTTTGGATTACTTTAACATTATAAAACTCGTTTCTTTTATGACTTACTTTATGTTTCCAAGTCTATTAAACCACTCGAAACTTTATTTGATGTGATTTATGTTGAATTTGTTATTTTTTTATGATTTAGAATATGTATTTATATATATTTTATGAGTTTACAATGCGACAAAATAATATAAGAATTAATATATTTTTATTATAAAATATTATTATACATATATATAAATAATATTAAATTCTCATTGACTACATATTCTTGAACTTCTTACATCATAATTTTTATTGCATGAATAGTAAAATTAGATGAAAGATCTTCAATTTACTACTCCATGAACATTTTTGAAAAATACAATAAGACCTCGATTAGTGCTGATTCGATATAATGCAGTCTGCTCGAAACCTGAAAAAAATAGCTCAAAATTTACGCTGATTCAAATTATCGCGGTACTGTATTTGATTGATTCGTACGTAATACGATTATTCCCGAACACGAACCAATCAGCAAAAGGTGGCAATTCGTTGTAGCGATATACTTTCCTTAAATCTATGTTTCTTTGGTGCAATTTTGGAAAAAATATAACATCATGGATACCATAGGCAATATTAACTTCGCTTGGCAAGAATTAACTGATAAATGCATATGGAATGTGGAAGAAGGTATGGCCGGAGAAATCCAAGGATTATCAACGAGAACAGCTTATGGTTGACCAAATTGTCAATCTAATCGATACAACAGGACTAGGAGATGTAGACGAGCAGGATATCGAGGAGTTACTGTAGGTTTCTAGTGAGAGACTTACCAACGACGACCTTCAAGAACTGGCGGAACAAGAAATTCATGTACAACTGGAAAATAGTAATTCTGAAAACGAAGAACCAAAAAATTTTTCTACAGATTTCCTTAGTAAAAGTTTGGTAACGATAACAAATCGTTCATCAAGCTAGCGAATGATCCAGATTTTGAAAATGCAAAAGCAAGACGAGGAGTTTCGGATGCGATCTCCTGCTACCGACGTTTACTTAACGAAAGAAAAAAACAGAGACAAATAACACTAGACAACTTCATTGCAAAAAAAAATCAAGAATTTCAGAAGAGCCAGGACCATCATCACAAGAAACTAACTTTATATTTCTGTGTGAATGTGTTTATATGTTATTTAAGATATATTATTATGCAAATTAATATAAAAATAACTTAAAATTCAAGTAAAATCTGTTTATTTTTGGTCGCGTCTTCCCCTTTCCCTATTTACTCTGTGCTAAAATGATCTCGTAGGAACGTATCCCACGTGTTAAGCGGGGTCTTACTGTATTTGAATATGATTAATCATAATTACAGAGACTATATAGAAATTTAATTTGAGGAATTCTTTAAAAATGAGAAATTCTTCAAAATCATAATAAAATAATAGCTTTAACTTTCGTGAATAAGTATTAACGTGAATTTATTTCTATTGCACGATAAAGCGCTTTTCGATAGACACTAGGCTTTACTTTAAATTCATCTTTGTTTTGATTTTTAAGTGCCGATACGCGTTTCGGGCTCTTTCTCCTCTTCTGTCGGCTTTTTGCTGTTTTTTACCCAACATATTGTGTAAAAGAAATAAACATGTGGCATTCTTACCTCTTTACAAATGCATTGAATATCTAAAAAACAGAGTTGACACTGTTTTATATATATATATATATACAATATTTTTGATTCTTAGTGTCAAAACGACACTTTACACTTGTATGAATCTGAACACTCGTATTAACTTGAAGTTTTTAAACCACAAATTAATAGCAAAAATTGACTAAAAGTAAATATTTCGTCAAATATTTGTTTTTAGTCAATATATTATCATTTTAAAAACAGTTAATTGATACATTTTTGTATTGAAATGATACTTTTAAATTCAGTTTAATTTTAACACTCTTATATTAATATATTTAAATGTTGCTTGAAATATCGGATTAAATCACATTGTTCATTTTTATCTAATATAAACACTTTTACGAATTTTTACAAATAATATAAAAACTTCATGTATATATATATATATATATATANGATATATATATATATATATACGCTCATATTTGTAATAAATGCGTTGAAAAAAGCTTCTAGAACAGTAGTATAACCAAAGAGGGATTCAAGAACCCGGGCCCCTCTTATATTTGTAAATACTGTATATAAATGAAAAAAATGAAGTAATTAGAGAAAAAAAATTGGGAAAAGGATTTGACCGTAACAAACGCGCATTTGTTACAGCCAAATCCTTTTCCAAACTGTACACATATCTATACAATATCTAACAAGTAAGAGTAACTTTTCATCTACACGATACAAAAGTAATTGTAGAGATGTGTTTACATCTTCTATTTGGACTCCCCTAATATTAGTTAATATCTAGTTACACTACTGTTCTAGATTAATTTAAGATTTGTTAATTAAACATAATGTTTGACAATTAAAACATTATCTCAAATTAAAAATTTATTATAGTGATAGAATCTTAATTATAAAATCGAAGAAATGTCTTCTAAACAACATGATAACGTGAATTGTTTCGATAAGATTCTTTAAATATTTGTATAAAATGAAACCATGTTATTTCATTACTTAGGCTGTTTTATTGACTTTTCAGTACAAATTCTTGCATTATTTACAAATATATTTTTAAATATTAAACATTCTCAAATATAAGTTTATACAATATCCAGCTTGATTCTTCCTAACGAGCAAGATTCTAATATAAAGAAAAATCAGTACAATGATGAAATATTATGTAAATTATAAAACTTCAAAATGAATAAAATTAAACATTAATAAGACAAGAGTCATTTATTACCAAATCAACTTTTTCATTACTTATGAAAATTTTTAGTTAAAAATTTGAAAATTGATCCATGTTATTTTTAAACTTATGATTTACAATTTCAAAGTTAATAATATAAATTTCTTATTTAAATTATACTTACGAAGAAAATTCATAAAGTATGATAAACTTTCTCTGTTTTTTTAATAAAAATTTATGTTTATTATTATTAATTTAAAATAAAAATTAAATTACTCATAAATTTTCTATGGAATATCTTAAAATATGCACTGTTATTTACTTGGTTAACGAGGATTTAGTACAGAAAGAATTAAAGTTTTTCTTTATCGAACTTTTCAATCAAATTTGAAATTAATATGTATAATTAGTATTCTTTTGGGAATATATCATAAAGTATTTATACAAAATATATTACAAGAGATTTAATTAATCGATTTTTGAGTCGTTTACTGAATTTCTTAAAATTCTTAATTATCTCGTTTATTATAATAGAATTTAAGAATTCAGAAAAATTACTTTATTAATTATAGTTTAGTGAATTCTTAAATTCTATCATAATAAACATGATAATTAAATTAGTTAATTAAACTAAATTAGTTTGTTTAAAGAAGAATTTCATGTTGATTAATTTCATATTATTATTTTATATCTTCGTGAAGAACGTATATTATTTTAACATTATAATATATAATATAAAATCATTTAAGCTCTCAAATATTAAAAAAATATATTATTTCAAAAAACAATTACTAAATTCAATTTTCTGAATTTCTTGATTAAACTCTGTTTTGATTGTTATCGTGTTTTTCGATAAATATAAACTTTTTACCTAAGAGTTTTTCTAACAAGGTTCCGAACGTGATTTTTCTAAGGCCAATTTCGTGATTGTTTTCACATATATTGCAGTATTCTGGAAAATGTCTTATAGAAAACATCTATATCATGTCACATTGTTAGTTTATAAAAGAACTCTTACTAGTCAAACAATTGCTCGGAGGGAACAACATCAGTCCTATGA